CGGGGACCGGTCGAGTGTGTGTGTGTGTGTGTGTGTGTGTGTGTGTGTGTGTGTGTGTGTGTGTGTATGTGTGTGTGTGTGTGTGAAGTCCACCATGAAAAAGCACATGGCACAAGCAAGGCTAAACAACGACACAAGCAACAAAAACAGCAAACATGCAGTGAATTCCATGAACACATGCGTTGTGTTGACACAACTTCTCTCCCCTTGACACAAACAACACAACACAACACAACACAACACAGCACATGCACACACGTACGTGCGTCTCTGCGGACGTAGAGGTCGAGCTGCGAAATGGAGCGAACGCGCGACGGCGCAGCAGTGTCGGGATTGTCGTACGACAGAAAGCAGTCGCCCTCTTGGAAGTCGCTCACAGCCTGGTGGTGTGTGACGGAAGGAAAGGTGTGGTGACAGACGTGGTTGGATGGGATACAAGATGCACAGGGAAAAGGAAGAGCGAATGACAGCAGTGTCTCAAATGGAGCAAGGGAAACACCACACACACACACACACACACACGACGCACGTGCACACACAGCACACACACACAACGTACACACAGCACACAATACATCGCATATGCGCACTCTCTTTAACATCCAGTTCACCACTCACCCCTGCGTCGAACGACTTGCAGCCAGCGTCGTCGAGACACCTGCGAGCGCACTCCTCCACTGTCATGTGATCCGCGTCTTCAAGAAACTCGCCACCTGACGCAAATAGGCAGTCGGTTCCAGGATAGAATGAGGGGTGGCCGTGTTGAAGTGAAGCGAGTGAGATGACAGGAATGGAGTGAACGCAAAAACTGTGTTGTGGGTGCGTTGATGAAAAGGGGTGACAACTCATGTCATCGCACATTGCAGCAACAACTATGACACCGACAAGGCACGTAACCACAGCAGCAACAAAGCAAACCTTGGTTGCTCTCCTTGATGTACATGTTGCTGAGTTTTGTGAATGCCGCAAGCGCATCATTGGCGGATACGGAGCAATCTGCAACGCTTTGCGCGCCGTTGTTTGCCGTCGTCGTCCCGTTGGGGCACTTGCTGCACGTGTGGGCGTCCACCTGGAAAGTGAACGTGTGTGTGTGTGTGTACATGTGTGTGTGTGTGTGTGTGTGTGTGTGTGTGCGTGTGTGTGTGTGAGAGAGTGAGAGCAATGATGCAAACGCAATGAAGCAACCATATCAACACCACAATGCAACCACAGCAACACAACCTCCACAAGAACAAATGAAGGCGATTCGACGCCAAGTCGAGCGCACTTGTGCATCAACCAACCCAGTATGTGCCGATCGGGCAGAGCGTGCACGGGTTCTCGCCCGTCACGGGGTTGTGTTCGCCAGAAGGACACGGACCGGTGGGGGCGGCTGCAGGCGGTGATTATGATAGTGGTGGTCGTGGTGGTGGTGGTGGCAATCACGAGGGGTGAAAAGGTGAGGATGGTGTTGGATTCATATGAGGCCCACCATGAATGAAAGCATGTGATGCAACTCAGACCACGTGAACTTCGCGCATTCTCTTTCTCTGTCATACACTCACCCACTGACACAACCAACACAGGCACACGCAGGCACCACACACTCACGCCCAATGAAGAAGGGCCCTGTGTAGCGGTACGTCGGCGCGCTTGCATCGTCGTCCTTGGCGTTGTGAAAGATGACAACGTAGTAGTTGCTTGCTGCAGCCAGGTTCGACTGGCAATGGGTGCGGGTGCAAAATGGACGAGGAGGAGGCGGCGGAGATGGCAAGCAATTGCAGGATCAATAATGAGTGGTTTGTCAGCACACACGTGCACCCACACACACCCACACACCCACACATCCACACACACCCACACACCCACACACACCCACACACACCCACACACCCACACACACACACACACACACACACACACACACACACACACACACACACACACACACACACACACACACACACACACACACACACACACACACATGCAATCACAAGACACAGAACAGCAACCATATGAGAAAAATGAACCGGGCACACGCACCGGCACTGTCCAAGTATACACGCCCGTGTTGGGGTGAGGGTTGACGATGGTGGCAACAAGACCAAGGTAGCCGGGGAAAAGCGCATACTCCTGATACAGACGGATGTTCACCTGCACATGATGTGGTGGCGATCAATGCAAGCACGTAAGGATGTTGGAGAATCAGCACGCTGGTGTTGAACATGCATTGCACCGATTGCGTCACGTGCAACTGCGCGCAAACGCACAACGTAAACATACGCACGCGCGCACACACACACACACACTCACTCACATTGCTCACGCCGTTTGAGGCGGCCCAAGTGATGTTGGCACGCGTTCCGTAGTAGAGGCGGGCGTTGGGTGCGGGAGACAGCACAGCATCAATCGAGGGCGGCTGTTTCGCTGCAAGCGTGACACACGTGGCGTTGCGTGGTAGTGTGAGTACAAACAACTGCATGTGTATGTGTGTGTCGTGTGTGTGTGTGTGTGTGTGTGTGTGATTTTCAGAAGACTACAAACAAGCTGCTTCGCCCTTTCCCCTAACCACACACTCGCACACGGGCCTGAGCTTGGCAATCATGAATGTACCTTCTTTGCATGTGCAGGAGGTGCATGTTGCGGCAAAGTACGTGGTGCCCGTGCTGCTGTCTGTCTTGCACTCATCACCTTCACATGTGCTGCCACTCAAACACACGCAATCATCTGATGTTTGTGCGCGTGTGTGTGAGGGTGTGAGAACAGGCGAAAAGATTCATGGTTGCAAATGACATACAATGGTAATGATATGCACACAAGAACACGAACACCACCACCATCAACAACAGCACAAAAGCATCAACAACAGCACAAAAGCATCAACAACAGCACAAAAGCATCAACAACAGCACAAACGCATCAATAACAGCACAAAAGCATCAACAACAGCACAAAAGCATCAACAACAGCACCACAAACACCACCCTTCGTACTTTTGTCGTCTGGGCCCCTGCTGGCGGCTGGGCACGTGAGCGGCTTGCACTTGTCCTTTGTCGCTGCGCCCGTGGTAGACGTGAATGTGCCCGAGGGGCAGAGGTTGCAGGAGTAGCGTGGGAACTGTGTGCTGAATGTTCCACGTGCTGCAAAGGTGATGCAAGGGAAAGGAGATGAAGTTGAAAGCAGTGGGTGCAGGTGTGCGAATGTGTGTGTGTGTGAAGAATGACGTGGTGTTGAGCAACAGGCGAGTTCAACAAAATGATAGCACTCGCGCCTTGCCACCGCCCACGTCACCGTAAACTACACACACACACACACACACACACACACACACACACACACACACACACACACACACACACACACACACACACACACGCACGCACGCACGCACACACACGCACACACACACACACGCACAAACACAAACACAAACACACACACACACACACAAACACCACAAGCAATCACCCTTTTCCCTACTCCCCAACACGCCCACGCACCACACGGTGTGCATTCTTCGCGGGCGGATGGCGAGACGGTGCCAGCGGTGCACGCGGGGGACGAGAGGTCTTGCTCGTACAAATCAAGCTGGTGCGCAGGGCTGCATATTGTGTGTGGAAGGGGGGTGGGGAGGAAGAGGGAGTGAGCGTGACAGGTGTTGAGAGTGACATGGGGTTGAGGGGGGACAGGAGTGACGTTAGAGGGGATGGAATTGGCGTCGGGTGGATGGCGGCACGCTGTGAAGGGCAAGCACTCAGGTGCAACACATGCACGCGGAGTGTGTGTACACAGCAATGCGCAGGTGTAAACCGGCGTTTGTGTGTGCACAGGCACAAGTAAGCACACTCAAACTCACTGCATAATCACTTGCGAAGCAGAGACATCTGACGAGTTGACGGTGTAGAGGAAACACTCTCCCCTTCGCGCTGCGTTTCCAGCAGCAAACGCCTTGCATGTCGCGGAATGAATACACAGCACAGCACACGCCTCCACAGACACGCGCGCAGAGACGGTGGTGGCGGCCGTGGTTGTCTGGATGTGCGTATCGGGCGATTCAACGAACGCAGTCTGGGCCAGTATCACTGCAGGTAGTGGTGTTGTGTTTGGTGGGCACCCAAAGTCCGAGAGTGGAAGAGTGAGCAAACATAGTCAAGCAGCAGCAGCACCAGCAGCAGCACCAGCAGCAATGGCAGTGACAGCAGAGCGGCCATGACAGCAGTCTTCCGCCTTGCAGCGCCATACCATGCTAAAAGCACACACACCCAGGCACACACGTCACTCACGCTGCCCGTATTTGTCTGTGCGTTCGTAGTGGGCGGTGGTTGCGTCATCTGTGGGCACAAACGTGTGCGTGAGGGAAGTGCCACGCGTGTCCGCAGCAAGCGAGCACGTGCCCGTTGTCCCGGCACTAAACGCATGGTGTGTGTGTGTGTGTGTGTGTGTGTGTGTGTGTGTGTGTGTGTGGTGTGGTGTGTGTGTGTGTGTGTGTGTGTGTGTGTTTGTTTGTTATGGGTGGTGCGTTATGTGTTTGTTGTTTGCATGTGTGTGTGTGTGTGCATGTGTGTGTGTGTGTGAAAGAATGAACGCATGCGGACGTGTCGAAGTGAATGGCGGAAACAAGCAACCCATGTGGCTGAGCAGAATGTGGACAAGCAAACACAATTGAGCGGAAAGCATGCGAGACATGACTGAAGAGCAGTAGAAGAAGGCACACAGTAGAACTGTGTGTGCATACATCCACCCGGTAACAACAGCATGGGGCTCACGGTGCAACACGTACGCTGTAAAGTCGAAGGATTTACAGGTGACATCAACGATGCACAGGCGTGCACACCGCTCCAGCGTCACGCCACGCAGTTGATCTGCATGCACATGTATGCACACATGCACACAACACAAACACGAACACGAACACGAGCACGAGCACAAACAGCAAACAGCAAACAGCAACAGTTCGCGTAACGACCACACATCCACGTTAGTGATGACAGTACATCTCACACGAACACGCGCCGCAAGAGTATGTGTATGTGTGTGATGCCATGCAACAGTGCAACGGTGTGTTTGAACTGAACAAGGCACATGCACGAGCCCTGATGTGGAAGTATGCATGCACGCATGCATGCACAAACAGCAACTTGTTGCAACTTGATGGCAAAACGTACGAATGTCCTGCTCCTCAATTTCATGCATTGGATATTTCACAAACGACGCCAGCGGCGAATCTGCACACACGACATACGTGTGTGTGTGTGTATGTGTGTGTGTGTGTGTGTGTGTGTGTGTGTGTGTGTGTGGTGAACAGGGATCGCCACTTCCAAAACGATGTTGTGCAGTGCAAATGTAAATGGTGTGGGCGGCAGCATGCTCGCTGGAACGTACCATTGTCAAGAGAACAATCGGTGGCAGCAGCTGCTCCAACGCTGGGCGTGGTGGTTCCACTTGGACAGGCAGAGCACGTCATGTGATCGCTGCTTGCCTGCGGAAATACCAACAAACAACAGCATACACGGGCGCACAAACAGGACAGATTTGCGCGTGAGACAGCCCAGCAAGGACAAGCACCAGACAGAAGCGATGAAACAGGGACGTCGCAGACGGCATGGGATTGTGGATGGGAAAGATGTCACTCGCTGAGGACCATCCATTCACTCATTCATACCGTGTTCAATGACACGTTCACCATCACCAACCGACCCATGAAAATGCTCGCGAACACAACACAACACAACACAACACAACACAACACAACACAATACAACACAACACAACACATACACCGAGCCACTCACGTATGTTCCTTGCGAGCATGGAGCGCAGCCTGGGTAGCTGCCCGTCGTGGACACGTATCCAGCCGGGCACGAGCCCGTTGGAACGGCGGCGATGGTGAAAGTGGGCGTCTGCGCGGACGCAACGAGGTTGTTCGTGGCCACCACAGCAACCTTGTACATGGTCTGGCATGATGATTGGGAGACAAATGGAGGGCAAGCACGAAAGCAGCGGTGAGCATGTCGTAAAGAGTCAGCCAAGTGTGTGTGTGGACAACACCACCACAACGGAGAGAGGGTTTGAGCAAGGTACACAGGCACACGACTGCAAGCAAGCACGCACTCACGACACGCCGGTGTACACAAGCAGGCATGCGTACTCAAGACTCACGCAGGCGCACACGCGCACACCCCCACAACGACAACAACAACCCACATACATCAGGAGAGAGATCTGAGGGCACACGCCATGGAAAGGAGCCGTTGTTGGCAACGGAAGAGGCGATGGTGCGTTCCAATTTGGGGCGAGACGTGCCACCACTCGTGGTCACGCGCAGCAAATGCACATCCACCTGCCGACGACAGCGCATCAGCGAGCATGAAAGTGGTGCATGCGTGCATGCATGAAAAGGAAGCAGTTGCACAAGAAGGATGTAACATGTACAGCATGGCACACAAGAACGCGGAGAACAAGCAAGAACGCGGAGAACAAGTGGGTGTTGCATGCGAACGTGCGAGATTTCAACCGCACCGCCTCCACTTGGACGTTTGCGATCCATGTCACAGGACACGGGCCCCCCAGGTAACACGTTGTTCCAATGGTAGGTGTGACCACCTCATGCACCAAAGCATCTGTCCACAATAATCACCGCAGCCACCACAGAAATAAGCATGCACACTGATACGCACACACGCACACACACACGCACACGCACACGCACACGCACACACACGCACACGCACACGCACAGACACGCATACAGACACGCACACGCACAGACACGCATACAGACACGCACACACACGCACACGCACACGCACACACACACAAGGCACACCTGGGATGCATTTGCAGTCTGAACACTGAGTGGAGGCGAAGGTGTCAAAGCCGTCCAGGTCGTGCGTGCATGCAGCGGAGTTGGAGTCGCTGGTACACGACGTGCCAGGCTGGCACTTGCACGTGTTGCTGCCTCCGCCAGCTACAGGCGAAGCACTGTCTGGGCAACTGGCCTCGCACGCCACCGCAGCTAACGCTGCAGCAAAACCCACCAAACACACCACGAAGGTGAGCACCACAAGCCAACCACACAACAGCACCTGCCGTTCCACGACCTCTCTCAACTGCTCTGCTGTGCAGAAATGTAAACACAAGGACAAAGGACCACCATGCAATCAAGCCAGCAAATGTCAGCAAAGGTCCAACACAAACAAAGAGCTGTCACCGACCCACCTGAGATGACGACGGCACAGCGCAGCAACAGCGGCATCGCGTGCGCCATCGCGACTGCCCGAGTCAACCAACAACCAAACAAAGGACGCGGGGTAGCTCCTGCTCGAGTCACGCCACGAACAGCCAGCCAAGTCGCACTCACAGCAGACAACACAAGGAGAGAGGAGAAAGGTGGCAGCAAAAGCAAAATGGGGCGACGAGGAAGGACAACAACAACAAAACCGGCGCCGCCATCGCCAATTTTGACAAGTCCAACACGTTTTGTTTGCTGTTGCCACCCTCAACCAACAACCCTGACAACCCATTCACCCACACACCCAGCCAGCCCAGTCGCCCAGCCACACCATGTGTGGCAGCAATCCCATGCCCCTTGTGATTGTGTCACGGCAAGTTCTTGCGTTGCGTGCGCGTTGCGTGCAGTCGCAACACATGAATTGTGAGCAAAGGGCAGCAACACGACAGATCCAGAGGATGGGTCGCAAGACATCCAACAAACAAAGGCAAACGATGCAAGAAACCAGTCAGGTGACACAGTAAAGCAGTGACGTGACAAGCAACACAGCAGCAACACGACCCTGACTCAAAATATAAACATAAACAAACAAACCCGCAACAGCCAGCACAGCACACAAAACACCACACCACCACAGTAATGCCATGATCTCATTTCCACCACCCCTCTTCCACCCAGCACACCAGCTGGTATCATGACCTCGACAGCTACAGGTACCAGCGCCATGTCTCAGCCCTCGGCAATAATCATCCTCACCGCCGCCATGGAGCGCCAAGTACACACGCTTGCCGGCCACGTCGCGTGCGCGTTCCAAGCCATGGCCTTGAGCATTCCGCCAGAGGTCATCTTCAAGATTGCGGAGCTTGCAGTTGTTGCCATCGCCACCCAACACCAACAGCAACAGCAGCAGCACCAGCAACCACAACAAATTGGAAGCACATCAGCGCACCTTCGCCACCACCGCAGCAATCACCACAGCAGCAGCCACAACAACAACAACAACCACTGCGCTCAGCCAGCACCTCACATCTTCAACGCCACTCAAGAAGACATTGTCGCCGATGCGCCCGCGTTCCTCGCAAGCATCTTCCGGGAAACAGTCTTCCTGCAGACGCACGAGCACATTGCGCCGTTCCTCCTCCCGCTCCTGCACCGGGCCCGCCTCATCCCACTGCCGTCGCCAGCCGATCTTCAACGGGGTGAACCGCGCCACGCCCCACAAGACCAGGAAGAGGTGGACGAAGAAGAAGCAACAGCAACAGCAGCAGCAGAACGACAACAGGCAGGAGGCGCGCGAGAAGCAGGATCATCACATGGCTACCACCATCACCACCACCACCACCAAGAACAAGATGGCAAGTCCCAAGAACATCCCTGCTGTGAGAGCTTTGGCAAAGCCATCGAGGGTGACGCACGCGCCGAGACGCACGACGACACCAGCTCGCACACGCGCTCATCATCCATCCACTCATCATCCATTCACTCATCATCCATCCACTCAAGCAAGAACACGGCTAGCCTCCGGCGATGGCAGAGGCGCAGGCGGCAGGAGAGAGCGAGCTTGCTGCAGGACTACGCGGTGCAACGTGTCGCGGCAATGCCGCAGCTCATGCCACTGCATGGATGCCACGAGGCCCGCAAGGCCGCGCTTTGTCGACCGCGGGGCCTGGCCCTTATGGCCGGCGTGCCGCTCCCCGGCCACGACGACATCAGCCAGGACAGCCGACGCATGCGCCGCCTCCAGAGCACATCTGGCAGGTTTGCTGGCAAGCGCAGCAGCGACGACGCAGGCCCTCACAAACATTACCACCGCAGCATCAGCAGCCCCGCCATGGCAGCACTGACGACACCAATGCATGCCACCAACCACTCAACAGCAGCGCACAAGAAGGCTACGCCTGCGACCGACGCAAAGCACAAACATCCAACGCCAAGCCTCCCCTTGGCCAACACGCTGCTGTCGCCAGCCAAGATGACCCCGCCATCGACGCGAACACCGAGCCTGTCCCCTGCACCCCGCTCAGGCGACGGCGGCGGCGATGAGGATGACGAGGTGATGACGGCAGTGGGCTGCGTCATGTCGTGGTGGCGGGAGGATGTGGAGCAGACGCACGGTTTGCGCACCATCAGCCACCGCGAGCACGTGTGGGGCTGGTCGGGCGCCCTCACCCCGGCCGTGCGCAAGGAGAAGCGGGCCATCGCGCAGCAGTTGTGTTACCGCCTGTTTGGCTTTGCGCCCGGTGCAGTGCTGCCCTACCACGCAGAGACACCCGGCCTGAACGAGTTTCTCGCCTGCGTCGTCGCCATGGACATCCTGGGGCCCTGGCTTGACGAGGTGCACCTGCTGCACGTGTGTGCCTGCATCCGGGCATGCACCCCCTTCCTGCCCACCAACAACAGCACCCTCGCTGCCCTGTACGACACGTGCATGCGCATCTGCGTGGAGGACCTGCCCTTCCTCAGGCCGCTGCCGCTCGCCGTCCTGCAGCGCACCATCAAGCAGAAGGTGGAGAGCGCGTGCCGGCTGGCCACCAAGGTGGTGGGCCACTTTGCCGCCAAGGACACGCGCGTGTTCCTCGCCAACGCACACGCGCAGCTGCCATACCAGGGGGCCGCCCTGCGCGGGCCAGCCACGTGCACGCTTCTCCATGCATGGCTGCGGGCGATGGCAGAGACCATCCACTTCTTCGACGCGCTGCTGGCAGAGCCAGACCACATCTTCCCGCGCTACGGCGACGTGCGCACGGACGACGAGCACCAGCGGCTGCAGGACAGCGCCGCGCGGAACCTGCGACGAGCACGCGTCTTTGTTGGCGCGCAGTTCATCACCGCAGCCATCATGCAGGCCGTGCTGGCGCTGACGGGGTTTGACATCGACACGGCCCCACTGCACGAGCTGTTGCCGCACGCGGCCGCCTCTGCTGCCCTCGCTTCATCTGGCCACAATAGCGATGCTGATGATGGTGTGGCGAGAGATGGTGACGCTGGCGAGGCGAAGGGTGGTCGTGATGCACGACTTGAGGGCCACCACAGCCCCAGCAGCAACAGTGGCAACAACAGCAGCGGCAGTGGCAGCAGATTTGCCTTTGATGACGAGCGTGTTGCCGATCACACATATGCAGAGTGGCTTCTGCATGCCGGCTTTGCACTCAGCGAGAAGGCGGCGACGAAGAAGACGGCGACGAAGGAGAAGCGTGACGATGGACCTCAGCTCCAACAGCATGCACAGCAGCAGCAGCATGCACAGCAGCAGCAGCATGCACAGCAGCAGCAGCAGGGGGAGGAGGAGGAGGAAGAGGAGGAAGGCGCGCCTTCTGCGCAACGCGATTGCAGCGCTGCGTTCCGGCAGTTGTCCCTGGGGGTGCTTCACGCCCTGGGGGAGACAGAGGCTGGGGACAGCCGCAATGGCAGTGACGCACGCCGGTGCAGCACGAAGCTGGATACAACCAGGCACGCAGTGTTTGAGCAGTGCTTGGACATGTGCTTCTCGTCTTCGCAGGGGCAGCTGGACATTCCCTCCTTTCTCGCACACATGCCAGATCCGGCCGTGGTCGTGGTGGCCAGCTTTGTTGACAGGTGCATGTGAATGAACGCGTGTGTGTATGTGTGCGTGCGTGCGTGTGCGTGTGTGTGTGCGTGTGTGCGTGCGTGTGTGTGTGCGTGCGTGTGTGTCCATGCCCACGTGCATGCGCTGCAGCCATTTCTGCTTCCAACAAACTCAAGAACTCACAAAGTCAATTCACATTGTCTGCTTGGTTCATGTAATGTGGTTGAGGCGATTCACTTGCCGAGACACGCGTTGACAAAATAAAATGCACTCACTGTTCATGTATCCGTCATCCATTGGTTCCTTCAGACAGCAACACGCACACATACACACACGCACACGCACGCGCACATACACGCACACGTGCACACGCACCCTCTTCTACTCGCTCCCACCAAATCACGCGTTCCCTCTCGCGTCGTCATCATCTTGGTCGCTGTGCTCCTGTTGTGCACTGCCATCAGCTCCATCCTCATTCACCGACACATCCTCATCTGCCAACGCCTCCTGGTCGTCCCCACCATCACTATCATCGTCGTCGACAGCACCGTTTGCTACTGGCCACTCGCCACCACGCAGCAGGGCGTCCACACGTGCCGTGCGCTGGGGGCGCAGGTTTGCAATCGCAAACGCGTCCTGCGGGCGAGCAGAGAGCTGGGCCAGAAGTCCAGTGCGTGTGGTCCTGTCGCGGCGGTTGCGCTTGGGAAACACCTTGCTGCCCCAGTGGTTTGTGACGCGGTTCGACGCAAACGCTGTCTCGAGGGTGTTCACGTGCTGCTCGTCCACGTCCTCCCTTGGACGGTGGCAGACATAGACGACACCGCGCCACTGCGACCAGGGGTCACTGCGATCGATGGGGGCGTGCTTGTCCTGGCCCTTGGCCGAGTGCACGAGGGAGGAGAGCCAGAGGATCATGCTGCCCTTTCTGGCGTGGACGCACGTCTGGTAGGCGCCACCGGTTGCGCGCACATACGCGGCGATGGCGCGACAACCGTCCTCGCGGAAGAGGTGGAAGTCGGAGACAGCGGAACGGCACCCGCCATCGAGGTCCAGGAGCTCTTGCAGGTAGTGGTGGGACGTTGGGGAGCAGCGGAAGGCGGCCGTCGTGTTGGTGAGCACGACTTGACCCTGGATGCACTTGAAGATGTTGTCTGTGTCGTGGGTTTGGTCGACGTGGGCCCAGTCCTTCTCCGGGTCGTGGAAAGGCGCGGTGGGCGGCTTGACGTTGATGCCGTCGCAGCTGGTGACGAAGCGGGTGATCTCGCGCCCGCGCAGGCCGCTGTAGGCATGCTGGAAGACGTTGTGCACGCGGTCGTCGCTGCGGATGTCCCACACCACGGGGAACTGGGCCACCAGGCTGTGGTACATGCCCTGCCGCGGCCCTGCGGGGAGGTTTTCGCGGGTCCAGGTCTTTGGCTTTCGGGTGAGCGCCGGGGAGAGCGCGTGGAGCGAATCCGCAAGCTCATCCATGGCGGCGTTGCACTCCGCGTCCGTGAAGACATTCTCCACCACCACGACGCCATGCGAGCGGATGTGGTCGGTCAGCCGCTGCCGCAGCTCTGGGCTGGCGTAGTCCACGCGAGGAATCACCTTCTCACACGCACACCCAATGGTGCTGTCAGAGCTGGCTGTGGCCGGTGCCTTGGCAGAGTCGGCTGTGGTCGTCATCTCTGCTGTGGTCAGGCGAGTGTGGTTTGGTGGTTGGTGGTTGGTGGTTGGCTTGGTGTTGGTGGTCGGTGTTGGTGTGGGGGGGGGGGGGCAAGGAAAATGGTGAACAAAACGACAAGCTTGTCTTGCTTGTTCGTCTGTTGTGTTGGGGGGGGGGGGTGTGGTGTTCTGTTGTTACGCAGGCCTGCGTAACCGCAGGTGAAGGAGAAGGACAGTGAACTAGTGAATGCTCTGTGGATGTGCGTGATGGAATGAATGCCACACAACAAGGACACAGGAGCAAGCCACTGGAACGAGGAGAAGCTTTGATGACTCACTACGATGGCTGGCAGTGTACCCAGTCATGTGCTCATGTGCAATGTGAGGAGCGGAAGAAGAGACTAAGAGAAGACGCTCCCTCTCCGTCCGTGCTGTGTGTCACATCACACTTCTCTTGTCACATGTCGCATCTTGGCTGTTGTGGTTTGTGTTGGAAGTGTCAATCCGCTGACTGATGTGTTACATGTGTGAATCAAAAATGGACGGTTTCCCCCATTTTGAGATTAAAAAGCCTGAAAGTGCCTCCCTTCCTCCTTCATGTCAACATCCAAAGACAGCACAGCATGCCGCATCCTCAAGCACGCCCTCTTGAAGGCTTTCATCATCGCTTCACCCTTGACTGGCGGATACACCAAAGAAGCCGGCCACAGCAACCACAGCAAGCTCAAGGGCCGCCGTTGAACACAACACCGACAGCAACAACTGCTCGCTGTGACGCTACGCCTATCAGGACTCGCACTGACGACTGTCGCGCGGATAAGAACAATGGAGGTGCACTCAGACACGTCGAACAACTACCAATCACAAGAAACAGCAGGACACCACAGCTCAATTGGCAGAGGCACCACCACCAAACAACAAGAACAACAAGAACAACAGAGACGACGTCTCCAGGCGAACAGCTACGAAAACTCGTTCTTCGCATCCTCAACGGCACCGCACCTGGCATCATACAGCTCACTTGCTCGCGAACAACGACCGTCGACACACTGAGGCAGGATATTGGCAACGCGTTCAGGCACGTGGATTGGCTGCACGGTTTCTCCTGTGATGTGGAGCAGAACCTACGTCTTGGAAGCCGTCATGTTTTCCTGGATGTTTCGAGCCGAGCCCTCGCTGAGGACGACGTGTACACGGTCGACCTCCACGTTCGGCCGCTTCCGCTCGGTCAAGTTGGCTTGGAGAACCCGCCCCTGTTTCGGAGCGGCTCCCACGGCGGGCACAGAGATCGGCAGGCCCTGCAGCGCTTGGCCAACTTGGAGTGGGCAGACGTCGACCCAGCACACCCAGAGCACAAGGAAATGAAGGCTGTGGCAGATGCACCTCACTGGGATGAGCAGGCGCTTGATGCAGGGGCGCGAGTCTCGTCGCAAGGACACGAGGGTGGCGTCTTTGGCCCGATCGCAGCAACGGTACCTTCACACGAGCTGAACAACCTCGACTTCAAGTCCTGCTGCGGCAGCAGCTCCAGTGGATGGACGCTGTACGCCGACACCAGCACCATTGCGAAATTGATGAAGGACACACTGCCTGCCTTGCTCAACTCCATCAACACAAATGGTTGTGCAGACGCCACGGCTCACCTTATTTGCGGTGTGGTCGACAATGACGACGACTGTCACGTGAGCGGGATTGTGCCTGAGGAGCCACTTGAATGTGATGCGTACTTCAAGGATGTGATTGACCAAATCAACACGCGAATTCATCAGCAGCTCTTTCCTCCCCTGCCAACAGGCTCTGCAACACTGCACGTGCATCGTGTGGTCGATTGCTACACCGCGCTGGAGGACGGTGGCCTGGACAAGAACGACGGCGAGTACAAGTTGGTGCTCTTTGGGCGTCGTGAACTCGACACGGCGGCATTCTTGCGTGGCAAGCTTCAGGGCAAAGGGGCATTGTTCATCAGTGGGAACGGAGAGAACCCTCAACACGCAGTTGTGTTCCACGCACAAGCGCAAACGCCCTCGCTGACATCCTCAGCATCATCAGCATCGACAACAGCGTCACCGACGTCCTCGGCGACACCAGCTTCATCAGCGCCATCATCAAGACAAGAGGTTGGAACGAGCGCCATGTCATTTTCGGCGCAACAGCTGCTGCAGTACCTGGAGGACCACGATTGGAAGCACGTGCCTCGGTTTGTGCTGCAGCTCGTTTTCAAGCCACCTCCTCATCTGATCGGCACATTCATCGACACCCACGCCTTTGCGCCCGTGTATGTGGACAACGGTGAAGAGGCCAGCCTGTCTCGCATTGGGATGTGGGCCAGGCTCCACCCTCAGCCAAGCGTGTCCACCCAGTCGCTGATGGCAGGTAGCTGGTACGTCAAGCTATGCGTGGGCGCGGTCGCAGAGAGGTGGCTGATTGCCAAGGGGGTCAGTTTCCAAGCAGGCGTCTCTTCTCCGGCCGCACATGCCCACGAGCTCTCACGTGTGTTGCAGAGAGGCCAGCAGCCCTTCTTGTTGTTTATCGCGACAACTGATGTGGAAGCTGGTGCGCTTGACTCCATTGGGCTGTCTCAATCCGCAGCCCCCGTCCTGATTGTGTTGCTGGCAGAGCGGCTACTTACCCCGACCGAAACTTTTGCGACCCTGAAAGCCCTCCAGCCTGCATGCGCTTGCGCGAACGTGCACGTGATTGATCTGATCTCCATTTGCAGTCCCAGAGACAAGAACGATGTCAGCGGCATCAGCGCTGTGCCGCTAGCCACAGTCGCCAGCGATGACAACGAGGAAGCCGTGCACTTTACGTGGCTGCATCATGTCACCCCGGTCAAGCAGGCGACATCTTCTGCAACCAACGAGGTTGCGGATGTGTCTCAAGAAGCGCAGCAGCAGCAGCAGCAAGAGCAACATGAGCAAGAACAGCAACATGTGCAGCAACTTGTGCAGACACAACAGCAAGAGCCACAACAGCGACAGCAACAGCAGCACGTGGACGGCGCCCACATCCCCGCCCTGGCTATGACTGCAGAAGACCGGCAAACTGCGTTCGTGGACTGGCTTGAGGGGAAGACGCCAATGCAGTGGGAGATTGCATATGACATCCCAGAAACCACGGGCATCCGCGAGCTTGAAGCAGAGGTGTTGGCATCACTTTCACCAGGCCAGCTTGGGTGTGTGGTGGCTGATAAGGCTGAGGCTGGTGCCGGCGCAAGTACTGCTTTGAGGCGTGTTGCTGTCGTGCAGGCGGACCGAAATGCATTGGTGTTCTGGGGCGGCGACGGCAGCAACGTACCCAAGCAGAAGCAACGTGCCCGTGCTGTGTGGTATTACATGGTTCGCCAGTACCGAGAGCCTCGCCCTGACGGCGCATCATGGAAGCACCTGTTGCTGGTGATTGACGCGCACCCGCGCTCGGCATTCACGCTGCTGCAGGCGGGGCGGGACGTTCTCGACATGCACAGCAATCGTGACATACGTGCCTGCGTTGTGTTGGCGTCTGGCTGTCCAGCCTTTTCGTCCAAGCACTTCAAGCCTCCGGTTGGAGCACGCTTCGTGCCCATCCATGCATTTCTTCGTACAGAGGCGGACATTGACAATGTTCACCGCGCCCTGGTCAAGTTCTTGCCTGACCGACAGCCCCAGCTCGACGATGTGCGCTCCGAGGCCCACAGGAGTCTTGCATTCAGCGACGCACACCCCACCACACACGACAGCTACATGTGCAACCATATGTTTGTCTTCGCTCTAGCTGCCCTGCGTGGGGAGTTCATGCCGCCACGCAGGCTGGTGCGAACGGTCCTGGACAGCACTACCCCTGCAGAGAAGCGTGTTCTGATGGCTCTGGCGTTTATTCGCGCTTTCTGCCTTGCGGACACGCCGGTTCCCCTGTGCTATGTGAGCGGTGACGGGGCCTTGTCCGCGCGCTTGCAACGGCTTGTGTGCTTCGCCTCCCAAGACAACGACCAAGTTCGGTTTTGCCACCCCTTCTACGCGCGGATCTTTGTGGAGGAGGCGGCCTCGTGCCAAGCGTCACCCGGGGGCACCGCTGTCATGTTGAGGCTGGGCGCCGAGAGCTTAACAAGGAGCGACCGAGCGCAGCTGTTGGGCATGTGGGCGGAAACAGTCCGGTTTCTACAGAAGCCACGCGAAGGCGTTGACGCTGGAACGCGACTCCTGCAACGTGTGGCGAATGAGGTCCTGCTTCAACGGCATGGTGACGAGTTTGCCCCGCTTGTGAAGCGCGTGCTGTTCCCTGCACAGCGCTGCGAGCGCTCTGGCGACCTTGAGGCTGAGCTTGACAGGCTGTTCAAACCTGTGCGACAGAACCAGCCCCGTGCATGGTTCGCAGAGTACGACAATCATCTCTTCGGACACGAGTGCGTTGTCAGGGCGCGGGTGTTCCGAGAGTATGCACTGGCGGACGTTGACTGTCGACCAAAGGTGCACGACTGCATTGCTGAGGTCGCTGTGAAGTGGGCTGAGGAGGCATGCCAAGTGTTTCATTTTGACGGGAACAAGCGCCGTGATCTCAGAGCAAGCCAGGATCGTGTGGCTCGACACTTGCTTGCCACTTGCCATGCAGCATGGTGGCGTCGCTCGCATGCCACGTGCCGCACGAACCAGTGTTCCGAGCCTGGCACTGGCAAAGAGGGGCGCGGCGGCGATTTTCCTCATGGCTGCAATGATGACGATGATGACAACGACGATGGGGGTGATGAGGAGGGGGATCAAGCGTGGCAACCTCCGCCTCGGTATGGCCCAAACACAGCACTTTCGCGTGGTACCACCCTTGCGGGGAGTGCTGGCGGTCGAGCCGGTGTGCCTCGATCTCGTTCCTTGGGGCACCTTGCCAGACCCGATCCCCAACTCAGCGTTCGTCGCCAGCCTTCTCCTAGTCCTGCGCCGTGGTTTCCCCATTCCACAGCAACAGTGGCGTCATCAACACGCCGCAACGCAACTCGTGCCAGCGCGTTTACACCAACTTCTGCTGCCCGCGGCGCTCGGCCAAGTCCATCAGGTTCAGGTTCATATCATCAACGGAACAGCGACGACAGCCGGCGCTATGTTGACCAAAGATACCAGCGCCCTCGCCCATCGGCCTCAGCCACAGCACTGCAAGACCCGTGCTAGAGGCGGTGAGGCTGGGCTGGTGGGTGGCTTCTTCTTGATTTTTCACTTGTGTGTGTGTGTGTGTGCGTGTGTGTGTGCGTGTGTGTGTGTGCGTGTGTGTGATTGCGTGAGGTGTGCGAAGGCGAGAGGCTGAGAGGAGAGGAGGGTATGAGGGGGGTTAGGTTGTGAGAGGGTGAGCGGAGGGACTGAGGGAGGCTGGGTGAGTTGTGGGCGTTGCTCTTGCTCGTCTGGCTGCTTGCTTCTTCCTTGTTGTGCGTTTGTGTGTTCTGTTGCTTCCATCTCCGTTTGCTTTTCAAAACGTGCGCGGCAGCCGCTTGCCAGCGATTTTCTATGAAAACATGCATAATTTTCTGAACAGCTGTCACCGTTGACAGCAGTTGTCATCCAACCGTTTTCTGTGCCATCCGCCAAAATTTTCAAAGCGCTCAAACACCACAGCCAACCACACACCACAACCAACTCGCTCCACCGCGACTTGCCTGCGTTGTGCCTGACGCCGAGGAGGGCCACCATACACACACGCACGCACGCACACACACACACACACACACGCACGCAAACGGCGTACCTGTGGCCTGAGCACCACGCTTCCAGCACACAAGCACACACAGCCGCTGGCACTTTGTGACAGCCACACACCCACCAGCCATGTTCATCAGCGTGCGTTGTTGTGGTTGTTTGTTGTTGGTGGTTGTCGGTGTTGATGTTGGAACATGACCTGCTTGCTTGGACGTGAGTCGACAGAAGCGCGGCAGTGGAGGGCGTGGCGATTGAGCCTGTGGTCCATGTCGAGGCACTTGAATGATCCTCACTCTTTGTTGCTCGTGCCGTGCCTTGTGTGCCTTGTGTGGGTTGTGTTAACAGGAGATTATCATTGATGGGTTCAAGTCCTATGCCCAGCGCACGGTGGTGTCGGACTTTGATCCGTTCTTCAACGCCATCACCGGTCTGAATGGCAGTGGAAAGTCCAACATCCTCGATGCCATTTGCTTTGTCCTTGGCATCTCAAACCTCAGCCAGGTGCGACCGCTTGAGCGTGTGCTTGTGCTTGTCGTTGCGTATCCTTGCGTGTGTGCTTGTCGTTGCGTATCGTTGCGTGCGTGTGTATGTGCGTGCTTGTCGTTGCGTATTGTGGCGTGCGTGTGTGCTTGTTGTGCGCGTGCTTGTCGTTGCATGTCCTCGTGCGCTTTATTGCCAGCGCTTGTTCTTTGCGATAGTTGGCTGTGCAACCAAAGCACAAGCGATGTGAGTGTGTTTGCAGCATCACTCAAGGTGTCGGTCGTTGGGCTGTTGTGTTTGTTGCAGGTGCGCGCAAGCACGCTGCAGGAGCTGATCTACAAGCAGGGCCAGGCCGGCGTGACCAAGGCCACTGTGTCGATTGTGTTCAACAACGAGGACAAGGACCAGAGCCCGATTGGCTACGAGCAGCACGACACCATCACTGTGACGCGGCAGATTGCCATTGGCGGAAAGAACAAGTACATGATCAACGGCCACAATGCGCAGCAGTCGCGTGTGGCAAACCTCTTTCAGTCCGTGCAGCTGAACGTCAACAACCCGCACTTTCTCATCATGCAAGGCCGTATCACCAAGGTGCTCAACATGAAGCCGCCCGAGATCCTGTCGATGATCGAGGAAGCAGCGGGCACGCGCATGTTCGAGAGCAAGAAGACCGCCGCCCTCAAGACCATGACCAAGAAGGACAAGAAGGTGCAGCAAATGTGTTTGCGTGCGTGTGTGTGTGTTTGCTTGTGCGGGACGAAAGTGACAGTGGGAAGGTGGGATGGGATGGGCGAATGCAACGCACAGCTGTGAACGTATGCCTGAGGGGAGGGTGTGTGTGTTGAGTTAAACGGCGACAAGTTATAGCGCACACCAGTGTCTCGCTTTGATAAGCGACACAGTCAACTCACGCCTCCTGCCCCTTCTCCACCACCGACAGGTGCAAGAGATCCAGACGCTGCTCGATGAAGACATCACGCCGACGCTAGAGAAGCTTCGCAAGGAGCGCACGTCGTACCTCGAGTTCCAGAAGACGAAGGTCAGCAAATCCTATTGGGCTGGAACTGGGGCTGCTGCTTCTGCTGGTGGTGATGGAGGAGGTGGAGGAGGTGGTGCAGTGCAATGCAGTTGTTTCGCATGATGGTGTTTACGACTGTGATGTTGGTGTTTGTGGCGCTGGCTGGCCATGCAGTTGCAGAGGCGCTGTGTGTGTGTGCGCGTGTGTGTGTGCGTGGGTGGGTGTGTTTCCAATCGCTAGAATGTCTCTTCCCTCACACTGCTGCTCGTGTGCGTGAATCGGATACCAGGCGGAGATTGATCTGCTGACACGCTTCCTCGTCGCATGGTCGTACCAGCGCGCAGAGGTGTGTGCACGTGCGTTTGGGTGGTGCTGAAGTCGTGTCCTTGTGCACTGCATGCTTTGTTTTTTTGACGCGCCAAGCTGAAGGTTCAACTGAAGCGAAGCATGCACAGCGTGACATATGTGCCATCACACCCAACTCACAATCACAATCACACACGCATACTCATAATCACAATCACAATCACAATCAAACACACCCTTTCCTTACCTTCCCCCAATAGCAAACGCTGTCTGCGTCGACAGATGCGCTGACGACGGCTGAGGAGCGGGTGAAGGAGCTGCGTACGCAGGTGCGCACGCTCGAGGGCGACCGCGACAACACCCAGCAAAACATCTCCCTGCAGCAGAAGCGCCGGGATGCGGTGCGTGCTCTCGCCACTGATATGTGTGTGTGTGTGTGAAGCTGTTGTAGATGAAGACGATGTTGAGAGTTTTGTTGAGTTTTGTTGAGTTTTGTGCTGCTTACGCTGTGCGAATGCACATGCACACACACACACACATTGCTCACACACCTCAACAAGTGGCGGTGCCCGCATGCGTGTATGTGTGTGTGTCTCTAGGAGATGAACTCTGCTCTGCGGACGATGGAGGAGCAGGTGGGCAACCTGTCCAAGGTGGTGGTCAAGGCCAAGGCCGAATATGACAACAAAGTCCACGCTATTGAGGAGGAGGAGGCTGCACGCAAGGCGCACCTCGCCCAGATTGAGGAGGTTTGTTGCCGTGGTGGTGATGACGATGATGGCGATGATGGCGATTGAGGGGGGTGCTGACAGAGGTGATGGAGAAGGAGGAGGAGAGCGACGAGTACGTGTGTGTACGTGGGCATGTGCATACGTTTGGGTGTGGCCTGTCCGAGGTGCGGTCAACATGATATCGTGCTGCTTTGGCATGCATATTCGTCCCATAGTTCAGCACCTATTCGCGCTCCTTCACACACACACACACACACACACACACACACACACACACACACACACACACAAACGGGAACTGCAGACGCAAAAAAGCCTTGAAGACAAGGCGGGAGAGATTGACGCTGCGCGCGCTGCTGTTGAATCTGGCCAGACTGCCCTGCAAGCAGCGCAGGACGGCGTGGCGGAGAGCGAGAAGCGCTGCATGGCTGCATCTGTCGGCGCCTCATCCGTATGTAATGGGGGGGGGGTGGAGGTGACTTGGGATGGTTTGTGGTTTGTGGTTTGTGGTTTGTGGTGCGGTGTGGGTGAGCACGTGCATGTTTTCGCGTGTTTGGGTGCTGTTGTGTGTGTTTGGTGCCCGAGGCTGTGGGTGGCGGCAAATCCTATGTAATTTGCTGTTTGTCATTGCTACTCACACGTCATGGTGTCTTGTGCAATTTCGATACGCAGGACGGCACGAGTCTCACGTTTGCCGAGCAGATCAAGGAGCTGCAGAGCGTCATCTCAACCGCCTCCACGCAGGTCTGTCCAAGTCTGGAGATGTGTGTTGCTGTTTGTGCGCGTTTGTGCTTGTGTGTTTGTGCGTTTCTGTTTGTGTTGTGGTCGTTGTTGTTGTTCGTGTCTTTGTTCTTGCGCTCGCGATCCATACGGAGGTGGTCGCCATCATACTATTCACATTCGTCCTGTGCTCGCCCCCTTTAATCCGCACTGTAGATGAAGCAAGCAGAGATGACCATCTCCCACGCCACGAGCGAACTCAAGACAAAGAAGCCAAACGGTGAGGCAATAAAGCATTGCGCACACGCCCTCGCTGACGAATGCCCGTCACTGCCACCGTTTTCTGATGTTGCGGCTGTACATGCGCGCGAGTTTTCGCGTTTCACTGTGCTATTTCTTGTGCATGCATGTGTCAATGTGCACTGTCTTGCACTGCGCCATCCCACACTGACGCCTGTGTGTCGCTTGACGCCACAGCCAAGAAGAGCGAGTCGGAGTACAAACGGCTCCAGCGCGACGTGAACGCCCTGGAAACCGATCTCAAGGCCATCGAGGTGCGTTGCGTGCGCATGCCTGTGTTTGTGGACGTATGCGCATGCGCTTGGCCTATGTACCTTGGATTGAATGCACATATAGGTTCATTCTTTTTCCACTGCTTCATGCGTCACTTTGCTCACACACTCTCCTCGCGATCTGCGACTGCACATTCCACTCCCTCACACACACACACACACACACACACACACACGCTCACGCACTCACGCGCACACACACACACACACACACACACGCTCACGCACTCACACACACACACGCACTCCCTGTCTGCGCAGGAGCATGTGGCAAAGCTTGCCTTTGATGAAGGCGAGGAAGCGAAGCTGCACGAGCAGAAGCAGGCGCTCGACCGGGAGTATCTCGCTGCAAAGGACCAGGTGGACACGCTGTCCGCTAGGCTGTCCCGCCTCACCTTTGAGTACAAGGACCCCGAGCCTGGCTTTGACCGCTCACAGGTACGCTGACCTACATTGTGTTTGCATGTACATGTGTGTGTGTACGTGCGCGTGAGTGCGAATACAGCCGTGCGTGGAACGTGTTGCACTTTCGATGACCCAGCTCATTTCTATCGCTTTGTCTAATGCATGATACTTACTTTCACGACAACTCCATATTCCACCATCACCACCGCGGTTACCACCATCACGGCTATCGTCATCGTTTGACCACGAAATACCACGCCGTCAGGTGCACGGTCTGGTGGCTGAGCTGATCGACGTTGCCGATGCGAGCACGGGCACGGCGCTTGAGATCACGGCGGGCGGCAAGCTGTACAACGTGGTGGTGAAAGACGAAGTGGTTGGCAAGAAGCTGCTGAGCAAAGGCCAGCTCAAGCGCCGTGTTACCATCATTCCCCTCAACAAGATTGCGGCCAGGTCTCTCAAGGACGATGTTGTTCGCCGCGCAAAGCAGGAGGTGGGTGTTTGTGTGTGTTTGTGTGTGCGTGTGTGTTTGTGTGACAGTGAGTTTTTGAGTGAGTGATTGAGTGAGTGAGTGAGTGTATGTACGCATGTGTGCGCGTGTCAGTGTGAACACACATGTTTGTGTGTGTGTGTGAGTGCAAGTGTACGTTCACCGACTCATGCATCTCCGTCCACTCTCCCCTAAACGCCAACAATCATGGTGTGCAGGTTGGTGAGGAGAATGTTGACGTTGCGCTGAGCCTGATTGGGTACCCTGCTGAAGTTGCTGCTGCCATGGAATACGTCTTTGGCCGCACGCTGGTCTGCAGGACCCTCGACATGGCAAAGAAGGTGGGCGCAAATGCTCGCGCGTGTCTTGTGTGTCTTGTGTGTCTTGTTGTGTGTGTGTGTGTCTTGTGTGTGTGAGGTTGGTGTGTGTGTGTGTGTCTTGTGTGTGTGTGTGTCTTGTTGTGTGTGTGTGTGTGTCTTGTTGTGTGTGTGTGTGTCTTGTTTTGTGTGTGTGTGTGTGTGCGCGCATGAGAGCAGGTTGTGGAGTTTTTTCATGCAACATGTGTGTCATCGCATCACAAACCTCACCCCACTCCCTCTGCTTCACGACTTGTGTGTTTTGGCGGATTGTGTATGTGTTTTGTTCTCGTCCCCTTCCTGACTGACACCAGGTCACGTTCCACGACAAGATCCGTGCGCGGACGGTGACGCTTGACGGCGACGTGTTTGACCCGAGCGGCACTCTCACGGGCGGCGCCAAGGCCTCGTCCTCTGGCGTCCTCCTCGCCCTGCAGGTAAAGCACATGGGCACATGCTGGTGGCGTGATGTTGTAGTGCTGGTGTGGCGTGCTATTGTTCTGTGAAGGACAAAGTCATTGGAGTTTCTTGCGAGTTTACTGCACACCTGACAAGCCAGCATGCACACGCATGTGCAATCACGTGTGTTCATGTTCACGCACACTCTCACTCATACACGCACACACACACGCACGCACACACATACACACACACTCATACACATTCACGCACACATACACACGCATAAATGTGCAGTCCTTGAGCAAGGCGCGGCGCCACCTGACGCGGGTGGAGACGGAGCTCTCGCGGGTGAACAAAGCGCTGGCGGCTGCGAGCGACGCAGCTGCACGCTACCAGCGGCTCATCAGCAACCGCGACATGAAAGCGAGCGAGCTGGAGGTGCTGCGGGTCAAGCTCGACTCCAACGTGCACTACAAGGTGAGCAAACTGATGGCGGTGGTGGAGACCGTGGTGGTCGAAATGGTCGTGGTGATGATGAGATGGGTGGGCGTGTTTGCTTGACGCGGTGTCTTTGAGTAAGCATTGGTACCACCACAGTTGTCTCGCTGACACGCTGTCACACAAACAAATGCATGTGCGGTTCAGGCCGTGTCTGAGGTCAAGGAGTTGGAGGAGACGATTGCATCGTCGAAGGAGCAGCTGACGGCGAGCAAGAAGCAGAAGCAGGACGCAGAGAAGAAGATCAAGCAGCTTGAGAAGGAGCAGGCGTCCTACGCCGACAAGGTAGTGCAGCAGCACTCGTGGTGATCATTGTTGGCGGCTGGTATTGGTAGTTTGTGTGCTTGTCGTTCTGTTGCAGACCAACGAAAGGCTTTGCATTGGGCGCTTCAATGCGTACACTTATGCACACACACACACATACACATACACACACATGCATACGGCAGCGCGACGAGCAAATGCGCAAGGCAGAGGAGATGCGCGCTGCGGCGAAGGAAGCGCTGAAGGCGGCCAAGGCAGAGGTGCAGCGGCTGCAGCAGGCGCACGAGGAGCAGGTGCTGGAGCGCGACGCCCTCGCCGGTGAGCTGAAGACCATGCAGAGGCAGACGGACAAGTTTGCAGAGACGCTTGAGAAGCTTGCGCAGGAGAAGGAAACGCTCGCTGCGACGCTGGCGTCCAAGAAGCGCGACTTTGAACAGGCAGATGACCAGTGAGTATTGAGTTGGCAGGCGGTGTGTGTGTGTGTGATGTGGTTGTTTGCTTGCGTGCACTTGTTTGCTTGTGCATGTTTGCCTCGCTTTGGCCATACGCACACACACACAATATGACATGCTGTTCTCACCTCTCGTGCAAACACGTCAGGCTGACGCGCAAGAAGGAGAAGTTGACGGCTGTAGATGCGAAGCTGCGAGAGCTGAAGACTCATCTGAAGGAAGTGCAGGCGGAGCTCGACGCAAACGCGCTTGAGCTGAAGAAGCTCTCCCACGACAAGGACAAGCTGGCACGCGAGAAGAAGGAGGCAGCTGCCACGGTGCGTGCATGCATTTTCCTTGTAGATGAACGCATGTTTAATTGTTATTTGCAGCGTGTGTTGGTATCCTCCGTGGCAGGGGATACCCTGCCAGCTCTGCTTTACGGTCACCGCCTCACACCGTCCACTCCTCAACAAAACTGCATGTGTATTGTTGACGCAGGTAATGGCGCTGGTTCGCCAGCACGAGTGGATTGAGAGCGAGAAGCAGTACTTTGGGCAGAAGGACACCGCGTTTGAGTTTCGGGAGGGTGATCCCAACCGCGACCCATCGCTGTGCAAGAAGCGGCTGGCGCAGCTGCAGGCGTCCCAGGACAAGCTGTCGAAGAACGTGAACATGAAGGTCATGGCCATGTTTGACAAGGCTGAGAAGGAGTACAACGACCTCATCAAGAAGAAGCAGATTGTCGAGCAGGACAAGTCAAAGGTGCGCGCACGTGTGTATGTGTACGTGTGTGTAGGTGTGTGTGGTTGTGTATGTGTATGTGTGTGTGTGTGTGGTTGTGTAGGTGTATGTGTATGTGCGTGTGTAGGTGTGTAGGTGTATGTGTATGTGTATGTGTAGGGGTTTGTGCGTGCGTATGTGTATGTGCGTGTGTGTGTGTTTGTGCGTGCGTATGTATGTGTGCGTGTAGGTGTGTTTGCACAACGCATGAGTGTTTGAGCTTGCAGAATTGTATCAACACCACAATGGACTGCACTCTCACGCTTACTCTTTCCCTCACACCATCACACTCATACCCCCCTTCCCCCGCAATGCACATTGGTCAGATTGAGCAAGCGATTGAGGAGCTTGACCAGAAGAAGAACGAGGCACTGCGCAAGGCGTATGTGCAGGTCAACGACCGCTTTGGGTCCATCTTCTCCACCCTGCTGCCGGGCACGCAGGCGAAGCTCGTGCCTGCAGAGGGCGGGGATGTGCTGAGCGGCCTGGAGGTGAAGGTCGCCTTTGGCCAGGTCTGGAAGGAGTCTCTCACCGAACTCAGCGGCGGCCAGCGGTACGCGTCTTTGTTGTTGGTGGTGTTGCTGTTGGTCATGGTGTTGGTGGCTGGTGTTGGCGATGGTGTAAGTGTTGTTGGTGTTGTTGACATTGCTGTCTGCTGTGCGGCGGAGACGGCCAGTCTTCGTCGCGTCTGTTTCACTGCACACACATGTCGTGCTTGCTTCTTTTCCCTTTCCCATGCACACGCACGCTCACACACACACACGCACGCTCACTCACGCACGCGTTTGCCCTGTTATTCCCCACCTCCACTTGATACAATTCTCCAGGTCTCTTGTTGCGCTGTCGCTGATTCTGTCGCTGCTGCTGTTCAAGCCCGCGCCGCTGTACATTCTGGACGAGGTCGACGCTGCACTCGATCTCTCCCACACCCAGGTGCCGTGGGGACGTGGTTTTGTGTGCTTTGTGTGTTTTATATGTGTATGTGTGTGTGTGCATATGTGGTGTGTGTGTGTGTGTGTGTGTGTGTGTGTGTGTGTGCGTGTGTGTGTGTGTGTGTGTGTGTGTGTGCGAGTGCATGTGGAGGGAATAGTGCTTGCGAGCTATAGTTGCTCGACCCCGAGACCGACCTTCTGCCGCGCTCTCATCTTCGCTCACGGAACATTTCTTCTTCTGTTTGCCTCGCCCTCGCCATCCTCGTCACCATCGTTTAGAACATTGGCCAAATGCTGCGCATGCACTTTAAGAAGTCGCAGTTTGTCGTTGTGTCGCTCAAGGACGGCATGTTCAACAACGCCAACGTGCTCTTCAAGACCAAGTTCATCGACGGCGTCTCGACCGTGCGCAGGTGTGTACGTGTGTGTGCGCTTTTGTGCTTTTGTGCTTGCATGTACGCGTTCATGCATGTGCATGTGTGTGTGTGTGTGTACATGTGGCTGTGAGCATTCTTGGTGTCCGAAGCCATGTGCAATAGACAATTTGATCCTCACACACACACACACACACACACACACACACACACACACACACACACACACACACACACACACATCAGGTTTGCTCAAGCACCGTCTGCGACCGAGAAGGAGAACTCAAGCGGCCGTAAGGCGGCCAACACGTCCAAGAAGCCCAAGCGCGCAGCTAAGGTGCCCGCAGCCCTCGCGGCCCAGCGCTCCTGAGCGGTCATGTGGCATGTGTTGTTGGATGTTCTGTTGATCTGTTGAACTTTTGAACCGTCACGGGGATGTGTAATTGGAGGCTGTCATTGCTGCTCCAATTCCCATTGTGTTCATGCCCCTTCATCTACTCTGTTCATGTGGTGATGCATTCGTTCTGTGTGTCACGTGTCATAGAGTTTTTTTTTCCTTCTGTGTGTTCATGCGTTGTTGAGTGCCGCCACTTTGTGCCTGGACAATTGTTGTTCTCGTTGATTCGCTGTATTTGTCGGTGTCCACCACGCCCTTTTCTTCCCCTTGCCAACCAGAAAGCCCTTGTGTGCATGCTCGTGTGTGTGGGCTGTTCTTGCTGTTCCCTGCACATTGTTGTTTCTTTACACGCTTCCTCCTACAATGAATGAATCATAGTGACGTGCTCATGCATCTCTGTGTGTGTGTGTGTGTGTGTGTGTGTGTGTGTGTGTGGACGTGTGTGTGTGTGGATGTGTGTGGACGTGTGTGTGTGTGGACGTGTGCCGAGGAGATGTACGCAGACAGACACAGAACAAACACAGAACAGACACAGAACAGACACACACACACACACACACACACACAGACACACACACACAGACACACACACAGACACACACACATGCATACACGCCATCGTGTGGTAAAATCAAATGCACCGATTTTGCCAACAAATGAGCGTATTTTACCAACGTGGCAAAATCACACGTGTCTGACTGCAGAAGAAGATGGCCAAGAAGACGAGGAAGAGTGCTGCGACAAAGCAGAAGCAGCAACAGAAGCGCAAGAAGAAGGAGGAGGAGGAACAGGGCAGCGACAGCGGTGGCGATGACTTTGTGCTGGGGCTCTTGAGAGATGATGTGGAAGGCGACGAGGTGCTTGGAAGCAGTAGTGGTGAGGACGAAGCTGAGGCATCGGGCGACGATGAAGGCAGCAAGGCTGGCGCTGTTGCAGATGATGGTGTTGATGATGATGACGACGTTGACATGGACGCGATGATGAAGGAGCTGAGCACGCCAAAGCGCAAGTCTTCACAAGCAGCAAAGGCATTGAAAACAAAGACAAAGAAGGCGAAAACAGCAAGTACAGCAACGACGCCAGAACACGCACGGAAGAAGGCGAAGAAGACGAAGAAGACGAAGAAGACGAAGATGCTGCTGGACGATGATGATGATCATGATGCTGATGATGCCGGCGACGTTGCTGATGACGGCAACAAACATGATGAGCTTGGTGCTGGCGATGGCACAGCGACACCAGCGAAAAGCAAGGCGAAAACGCCGACGAAACAGAAACAGAAACAGAAGCAGAAGAAGAGTACAACCAAAGCAGAGGCCACAGACACAGCTTCGAAAGCTGACAGTATCGCTGGGAGCACCACAACCACCAACAGCAGCGGGGACGCACGGAAGCACCCGATGTTGCGTGCAGGTGATGCGTGTGATATGACTCGCTTCGACGCGCGGTATATTGCCTACAACGAGGAAGAGCGGCTGCCGGAGCTTCGCCGCGCGGAGACGGGCGCCAAAGCCCGGCGGTTCGGCCAGGAGCAGCCGTGCCCAGGGATGCCCCCATATCTGGAACGCACCTGCCCACCAGAGCTGCCAGACATGCTGGTGACCCCGGCTAGTGTGCAGGCCATCATTGAGCGCAAGGCGAGCAAGGGCAAGAAGGGCAAGGCAAAGGGCCAGGTGGCAACAAGCGACACTGCTTCCTCCACGACCATCGCTGATGCCAGCAGCAGCAGCAGCATTGCAGACGCCGTCAAGTACACCAATGAGACGCTGCGCGAGCGCGTGCATCCACGGCTGGCGTTGCCGCGGGACAGCATGAAGCCGCTGCAGAGCTACCTGTTTGAGACCTTCGACTCCTACCGCGATGTGCTGTTCACAGAGCGCACCTTCAAGCACGCCAAGTACATTCGGGAGGCGTACGTGCTGCACGTGCTCAACCACCTGTTCAAGTCGCGCGCATATGTGCTGCGGCACAACGAGCTGTTGCAGAGCAGCACGCTTGAGGACGAGGACGTGTGCAGAGACCAAGGATATGCGCGGGCAAAGGCGCTCATCTTGGTGCCGTACCGCGAGCACGCGTTGCACATTGTCAAGCTCATTGCCAAGATGGCGTGTGCACCCACCGCTGCTGGCAAGCCCAGGGACCTCCGCCACCGCAAGAAGTGTGTTCGTTTGTGTGTACACATGTGTGTGCATGTGTGTGCACATGTGTGCGTGCGTTTATGTGTGTGCACATGTGTGCGTGTGTACATGTGTGTGCATGTGTATTGCTGTGCGTTCAGCCTGGTGATGTTGCTCTCAGTCATGCTCTTGTGCATGCTCACGGCATCATCACCCTCCTCCCCACCCCATGTGGCTGCAGATTCATGGAGGAGTATCGCGTTGAGGAGGCGGGTGGACCGCGGCACCCGAACGAGGAATACAGGCAGTACTTCACCGGCAACGTCGACGACCTCTTCGTCCTGGGGGTGAGGCGTCATGCGAACCTGCAGTCAGCGTGGTGGTGGCGCTGGTGGTCGTCGTGGTCATGTGCCCTTGTTTTCTGTCTTTCATCACACACGCACGCGCACACGCACACACACACGCTCGCACACGCACGCACGCACACACACACACACACACACACACGCACACACACACACACACACACACACACACACACACACACACACACACACACACACGCACACACACACACACACACACACACACACACACACACACACACACACACACACGCACACACACACACACACACACACACGCACACACAATTGTTGTCTCTGGTCTGTGCTGGTTGGTGCTCGGTGAGCACCCTTTGTCTCAGGTACAGACACCCACATCTCTTTTGCCCAAGAACATCTTCCCCACCTCCCCAACGTCTCACGTTCCTCCCCATGCACCCCCCCCCACCTGCCACGTGTTGCACAGGTTGCCCTGAAGAAGTTGAGTGTGCAGCTGTACAGCTCGTTTAACACGTCTGACTTGATTATCGCGTCGCCACTTGGGCTCAAGCACGCGCTAGAGAAGAGGAAGGAGAGCAACGAGTCGAACTTCCTCAGCGGCGTCGAGGTCGTTGTCCTGGACCAGGTGTGTTGTGTTGAATTGCATTGTATTGTATTGTTGTGTTGTGCTGTGTCTTTGTGTTTTGTGTTGTGTTGTGTTGTGTTGTGTTGTGTTGTGTTGTGTTGTGCGTGTGTGTGCGTGAGTGAGGGTGTGCATGTGTTTGAAGTACGCAAATCACTGTGTTGATGGCGCTGCCGCTTTCGCGATGTGTGCCTCACCACATTCTTCGCACACAATTTCCGAATTACTCATTCCTTGACAACAACAAACGATGACGACGACGACAACAGGCCGAGTCGTTCCACATGCAGAACATTGACCATCTGATGTGGGTGTTCAGCAAGCTCAACGCCAAGACGCTCTCTGGCGACGTGGATATTGCTCGTATCCGCTACTGGGCGCTGCAAAACCTCTCACGCTGCATGCGCCAGACCATCGCCATCTCCTCGCTCTCCACGCCCCAACTCATGTCCCTCTTCCACAGGCACTGCAACAACGCAGCGGGCAGGGTGCGTGAGTGTGTGGTGTGTGAGTGAGTGTGAGTGAGTATGTGTGTGTGAGTGTGTGTGTGTGTGTGTGTGAGTGAGTGTGAGTGAGTGTGTGTGTGAGTGTGAGTGTGAGTGTGAGTGTGAGTGAATGGGTGAGTGTTGCGTCTATGCATGTAAGCGTGCATGTTGATCCGCATGAACGCGTGCTAACACCACCCCCCAACACACCGCCCTCCTGCACATGTTTAGGTGATGATTACAAAGCCATATCTCGGTACCATTCGCCAGGTTGTTCACCAGAGCTTGTCGCAGGTGAGAGAGCACGTGATTTTGCATGTTGTCTGCGATGACGCACTCGCGTTTGTATCACAGACACAACACAACACAACACAACACAACACAACACAACATAACACAACATAACACAACATAACACAACACACACAACGACACAACCACCCACGCCTCGCCGGTAGCATTGTCCCAGGCATTATTGCTCACGCTTGTTCACACACCAACACCGACGCTTCGTTCACGCCCGTACAGGTGTTCTTGCGCGTGCACAGCGACACATATGCGGGCCTGCCTGACGCACGATTCAACTACTTTGTTCGCCACGTGCTGCCGCTGCTTGACCGAGAGGAAGCAGAACGCACCATCATCTTCATCCCGTCCTACTTTGACTACGTGCGCGTGCGCAACCACATGCACAAGCAGGGCATGAACTTCACGCAGATTTGCGAGTACACGCCGCAGGCGGACGTGAAGCGAGCGCGGTCCACATTCTTCCACGCGCACGTGTCGTTGATGCTGTACACGGAGCGGTACCACTACCACAACCGCCCGACCATCCGCAACGCTCGGCACCTCGTCTTCTACGAACTGCCGCTCTTTCCACAGTTTTACAGCGAGATGCTCAACGCCATCAACGGGGCGGTGGTTGCCGACGCCACGTGCACGGTGCTGTACTCGCGGTTTGAGGCGGACCGGTTGTCCAGAGTTGTCGGCACGCAGCAGGCCATCAGCATGTTGCAGAGCGCAGAGGCAAAGCACCTCTTCATGTAGTGCAGGTGGTGTGTGTTGTTGTTGTTGTGTGTGTGTGTGTGTGTGTGTGTGTGTGTTTGTGTGTGTGTGTGTTTTGTGTGTGTGTGTGTGTTTGTGTGTTTGGTTTGTGTGTTTGGTTTGAACCCTGTTTCTGCTTGCTCTTTCGTCCTTCCTCACTGCCTCTGCGTCTGTCATACCTCTTTCTTTCAAAGTGCGGTTGTGTTGTCGTGTATTGGATGTGGTTGGTGTTGGCCATGAACGAGGCGAAGAAGGGAACGGAAGGTGGTCGAAACAGAGGAGTAAAGGTTGGTTGAGTGACACGTGATAACGGCCGTGGTCACAGTACCTCAGCAGTAAAGTCAACGGTTCGGAAGGCTGCTGTTGCACGATGGCAAGCCAGCAAAGCACAGACAAGAACGTCAACAACGGCAGGCACGGATAGCAACCATTGCACACTCAGCCCAAAGCAAGGAGCAGAGCAGCAAATTGCATGTCACGACAGCACGCAGTGAGAGGCTGTGATCAGGAAAGGTTAAACACACAAGGCAGACGCGTGAACAGACATAGCAAAAAGGTTGGTTGGCGAGAGGGCGGGGGAGACAAATGGCAATGCCAATGAAGGAGAACACACGTACATGAAAAAAGCAAACACACACACACACACACAAACATACTCTCTCACACACACAAACATACACTCACACGCACACAAACATACTCTCTGTCTCACACACAAACATACACACACACATACACACACACTCTCACACACACACTCACAAACGTACACACTCACACACACACAGCGCACTATCGTTGTTAGAAAAAGAAAGAGGGAACAAAAGAACAAGACGGCAACCATCATGGGTGGTCTGCCGCCATAACATCACGATGACCACTGGCCATCATAATGACGGCCGTCGTTGTAGTTGTCATCCCTGCGTGGATGATCCTGGTCTCGGGGTTGGTCTTGGAAGTGGAACTGGTGGCCATCGTGGTGGGGCCCACGTTCGGGTTGCTGACAACCGACGTCTGTGTTGAACAGGGCCGACAGCTGAGGTTTGACCTGCAGCATAATCTCCTCTGTCTTGAGGGTTGCGAGCTCGCTGTCTTTCTGCTGCAGCTGCGTCCTTAGCTGTGCCACTTGCGCTTTCAGCGCGGCCACTTCTGCGTCGCGCTCGGCCCTTTTCTTTCTTTCGGACCTGGCTGTTGATGATTTCTTGCGCTCCTCCCTCAACCGGTCGCCCGCACACTTGTCGAGAAGGCGGTGGATGGCTGGGAGCTGCCAACTCTGGAGCTCACGACTGAGCACTTTGTCGCAGAAGAAACGCACCCCGTGGCCTGGTTTAAACTGGTCGAGGGTCTGCTCTGGATCCCGTTGCAGGCGCGCTCGCGCTTGTGCAAGCGTGGTGGTGTCAGGCGGCAAAATGCCAGCATGTATCAGGAGCTGGATATCGGCGTTGATTGACCCGCCATACAGAGATCGGCCTTGTCGTGTGGGCAAGGGCACCGTCTGCCGTCTTGGCCTCTGCAGCTGCTGGTGAAGCTGCTGTCGTCGCAGGGGGGAGGCCGACCTTCGGTGCAGAGGTGCAGCAGGCGCTGCTGAGGACTGCCGTGGCTGTTCTGCTGGCTGTTGCTGCATCTGTTGTGGCAGTGGTTGATACACATGCTGCTGTGGTTGCACTGGCACATGCTGCAGGTCCTGCTGCAATAAGTGTTGCAGCTGGTCCTGTTGTTGCTGTAATGGCACATTCCCGTTCACTGGGCGATGCAGTTCCTGCTCCCGCCGCAGCTCTTGCTGCGCTGGTGAACGCCCTCGCTCTTGCGGCGTGTGTTCTTCCGAGAACTGGTAGTGTGAGTGCTCAGAGTCGGGCGAAGACATGGTGCCCGAGCGAGGTCCCGTCGCCATCAGAAGAGGCTGCTGCTGCTGCTGCTGCTGCTGCTGCTGCAGAAACAGCAGTTCCTCTTGGTGGAGCGCATGTCCATGGTGGGGCTGACCAGTGCTGCTGTGACGCTGGTTTTTGTCGTTGTGAGCACTGCCGAACATCTGCGTTTGGAGGTCAGTGGAGAAGGGGCCTTGATATGGGCCTGCTGCTGGGTGGGTGGTTACACGATCGCGTGAGGACTGTCTTTGCTCTTTTGAATTGGTTGGAGGAAAATGGCCAAACAAAGCCAAACAAAGCCCAACAAAGCCACACAGACGAGAAGAAGGGTGCGGAGAAGGTGCTGGCGAGTGGGGAGGACCGTCAACAAAGAAACAGCCAGCAGCCTGCAGCCAGAAGCAAAGGGCATAGCCACTGGCTGGCAACAAAACGAAACCCTCACACCTTGGACAGCTTCGTTGAGTTGGAAATGATGACTCATCGAGCAGAATTGTGTTGGAAGTCTTTGGTAAATGCTCACAACTTGCGAGTTGGCGCCAAAAAAAAGTCGGACGCAAACAGACGATGATGAGCGCGATGCAGGAGACGCGGTCGGGGAAGCGGGAAGGGTGTGTGAGCAAAGAGGCATGGCACATGGCCATGGCCATCCTGGCCAGTAAACGCTCAAAGGACCCAGTCACCCAGGTATACATGCACATGTGTGTATGTGTGGTGAGGGAGGGGGATCGTGTTGTGGTCGTGTTTGTGTGTGTGTTTGGGTATGTGGTTGTGTTTGTGTGTGTGTGTGTTTGTGTTTGTGCGTGTGTGTGTTTGCGCATGTGCTCTGTTTGGTGGAGCTGTGCATTCAAGTTTTGCAACAACACGGCTCATATTTGAGCGTGTCTTTGCAGGTGGGCTGCGTGATTGTGGATCCGAAAGGAATCGTGGTGTCCATGGGCTACAATGGCTTTCCCATCGGCTGCTCTGACGAGGAGGTGTGTGTGTGTGTGTTTGTGCTCTTGTTTGTGTGTGTGTGTGTGTGTGTGTGTGTGTGTGTGTGTGTGTGTGTTTGGTTGTTTGCTGTCTTTTAATTTCGTACAGCCGCGCGTGCAAGTGAGGCCACCCCCTCGTGTGACTCTGCTTTGCTGGTTCTCATCTATCTTTGCTTTGTTTTGGTTTGGGACTGCTCTGTCGTCGAACACAGCTTCCTTGGGATAAGCACGCAGACAATCCATTGGAGACCAAATTCCCATACGTGGTGCGTGTCACGACAACTGCAACAGCACGACGCTAACACGACACGACACCCACACATACACACATATACACATACACATACACACATACACAGGCACAGGCACGCACACACAGACACACAGGCACAGGCACGCGCATGCAGTTTACTCATGATCCTCTCCATGCATCCCCATGTTCTGGCACCCACATGCTGTGTGGCATGACACAGTGCCATGCGGAGATGAATGCCATTCTCAACACCAACGACCAGGATGTGAGCGGATGCATCCTCTACGCCACCCTGTTCCCCTGCAACGAATGCGCCAAGATGATCATTCAGGTGCGTGCTGCACAACGAGGGCACCGTTTCGTGTGTGTGTGTGTGTGTGTGTGTGTGTGTGTGTGTGTGTGTGTGTGTGTGTGTGTGTGTGTGTGTGTGTGCTCGGGGTGTTCGATACACCACAATATGCTTACCCATCATCAACAAGAGCAGCGTAATCCGTTTACTCACTCCTTGACCCCGTTTGGTTTTCCATCACATCAGGCTGGTATCAAGGAGGTTGTGTACCTGTGTAACAAGTCAAAGGACAAACCACTTGTCGTCGCCTCACGCACTCTCTTTGACATGGCAGGTGTGTTGTGTTGTGTTGTGTTGTGTTGTGTTGTGTTGTGTTGTGTTGTGTTGTGTTGTGTTGTGTTGTGTTGTGTTGTGTTGTGTTGTGTTGTGTTGTGTTGTGTTGTGTTGTGTTGTGTGCTGTAGGTGTGCTGTTTCCGACTCATAGCACGTGCGGATATGCATGCACGCCCTCCGTCTCGCTCTCTTACACGCCCAATCATGCACACACACACATGCACATGCTTGTGCGCGCATGTCCGTGTTATCAGGCGTGACGTATCGTGCGTTTGACATGGAAGAGGCCGGCAGCAGGACCATCAAGATCAACTTTCGGCAGGTACCGCCGCCGTTTCACAGATCGCCACAACAAGACCGTGCTTGCAAGCAAACGACCGACGCATCCGCAGCGAAGAAATCCGAGCGAGAAGAGAACGAAGAGGAAGCGCAGCAGCGAGCTGGCGACCACACCAGTGCTGATACGGAGGGCACAACTCACGCCATGAAGCACCTGTCCCTGCACGCGTGACATGACAGCTTGTGTGTGTGTGTTTGTATGTGTGTCTCTGTGTGTGTGCGTGCGAGTGTGTGCGTGCGAGTGTGTGCGTGCGTGCGTGCTTTACACTTGATTATGCCGTCACAAACACCGACACACACACACACACACCGACACACACACACACACACACACACACACACACACACACACACACACACACACACGACACACGCACACACACCCATACGCATAAGCATACGCATACGCATGGGCACACACATGCGATTCTCGTTTTGTGGATTCCGTTCTGTGATACCTTTTATGCGTGTGCACATGCGTGGGGAAGATAAGGGAGGCTCCACAACCGTAATGATAAACGACAACAACAAATCCCCAAACCACGCACGCGAATATCGACAGGGAACTCGCGGTTCCATCCACACGCACACGCACATGCACATGCACATCCTGGTACAGCCAGGCCAAACAATCACGCACACGCTTGCATCAACGAAGGGAGAATGACATGAGGCAGGAAAGGAGAAGGAACGCATGTCGCCAAAATGACAAGACAAACCAAACACGACGCAGAACGAGACAAGACAAACCAAACACGAGAACAGCGCCTGGGTGTCACGCTGCGCCGAGCCGTTGCGCTTCGTCAAATGCGTCGGCGTGTAAGGCCTCGCGCGCCTGTGAGCGCGGGCGGTGGCTGACGGAGCCAGATCGCCGGCGGGGAAGGAAGTTGGTGGTGCCGGTTGGCAGGATGCTCTTGGCGTCGCTCGTGTCGTCGGAGGTGAGGAAGTAGTGGCTGTTCTTGTCGACAGCGACCAGCGTCTTGATCATCACCTCGTCCTCTGTCATGACAATTGGCTTCTGGTTCTGCTTGTTCACAACGTGTGTGTCTGCGCCACGCAGCGCCAGAATCATCACGCTCTCATACTCTGCCAAAGGTTGTGTGTTGGGCGGTGGGGGGAAGTGGTGAAGAGCAAGAACGGAGTGAGCGCGGGGTTGCATCACAATGCAGCAAGGTATGTGGCTACTCATGTACACGCACAGACACACACGGACACACAGACACAGACACACACAGACACAGAAACACAGACACACAGACACAGACACACACACACACACACACACACACACACACACACACACAGAACCCAAAACACGGCCAGCGCGTACGTCTGAAGTAAACGGCGAGGTGGAGCGGGGTGTTGCCGTCGGCGTCCTGTGCATTCAGATCAATACCGGGCGCATCAACCAGCAGCCGCACCACGTCACTGCACCCAAGCGAAGGGATCGTGTGTGTGTGTGTGCGTGCGTGCGTGTGTGTGTTAGGGTAGCAGGTGATGGTCTAGGGCATGAGATTGTATGGGATCGCATGGTATGTGGAGGTGGGGTGTGTCTTGTGTAGTGATGGCAGTGTCGACCTGCAGGACACGATCGAGTTTTGCAAATTATCGCGTGAAGTGGTGACGTGCAGTGTGACTCACTCAAAACCGTTGCACGCCGCAACGTGAAGCAGTGTGGCGTCCTGCAAAAGCACGCCAATGAAACATACGCACCCACACGTGAGGCAGTGGTGTCGCTTGCACCAAGCAAGCGTGAAGCAAGGTGGACGGCGAAGTGGTTGGATCAAACGTGCTTATCACAACGCCCACACCAAACAACCAAGCACTATCATACCGCCGCCGCCGCCACCATCATCATCATCATCATCATCATCGTCATCATCGCCACCACCACCACCACCAGCGCCGAAATTACTGACGTTGTCGTTGATTGGAGCGTTGAGGTTGCGTCCTTTGCGGATCAAACGTTTCACATCCCGCAGCATCTTGCGCGCCGTGCCATGACGCAACTCGTCCAGCTGACACACAACAAGATGGGTGCGGGGGATGGAGAGGGGGAGAGGAGAAGGACAGGGGGCAACAAAGATGATTATGGGGTGAGGGTATGGTGCGTGTATTGGAGCGTGGAGAACCGAAAACGTGATGGGGACTCGGAGCACATCCGCGCAAATACACACACACACGGGCGCACACACGGGCGCACACACACACACGCACACAGTCACACACACACACGCACGCACACACACACACACACGCACGCACACACACACACAGTCACACACACACGCACACAGTCACACACACACACACGCACGCACACACACACACACACACACACATACACACTCACACACGCACGCCGTACATTGTCCAGGAGCCCCTGGTCTTCGAGGGCACGCTCGATGATGGCCTCTGTTCGCTCGTCGTCTGCCACGTCCAGTGCAAGATCGCCGTCTGCGTTTGCAAGCGTCACATCCGCTCCAGAGGCAATCAGCTTCGAGCAGATGCGCGCACCACCTGATGAGAGAGCCGCCACGAAAGGCAGGAAGGCACGGGGTGGTGGGAATGGGAAGGTAAGGCATTGCGTGTTGGGCCAGGATGATGGGTGAACTGGAACACACACAGGCAAGCACACGTGCACACGCGTGCGAGCGCACACGCGCGAATCGTGCACGGCGACAGCGAGCATGGGTGGCGGTACCTGCTGCTGCGGCTGCGTGCAACGGCGTCCACCAGTCGTGATCGAGCGTATTGACATTTGCACCGGCATTTAGCAACAGTGTCACCGCTCGCAGCTGGCCTTCCACACACGCTCTGTGTGTGTGTGTGTGTGTGTGTGTGTGTGTGTGTGTGTGTGTGTGTGTGTGTGTGTGTGTGTGTGTGTGTGTGTGTGTGTGTGTGTGTGT